ACATCGCTTTCGAGGAGAGCCAGCTGGCCCGCAAGGCGGTTGTTATTCCTGCCGAAGATCGAGGACGTAACCGCTATGTCGGAATTCTCAAGAAGGACAATTGGCGACCGAGCTCACTTGTCGGTCCCTCGACTTCCGGCACTGGCCTTTCCAATGTCCGTCTCCGTTCCCCGTCTCCGCTCCTTTCCGCAATTGTGAGCCCTGCCCTCTCGACCCCAGCTGGGGATTGCCGATTTTGTCACAAGTCCGGGCACTGGATGCGAGACTGTCCGGATGTTCTGAGGCATCGACAGATGGAAAATAGGATCGCAGCCCTACAGTTGGACGAGGACGAAAGATCAGAAGATCTTTCAAAAAACTGTTAAGCCGTGGTAAAGACTCTCACTACAGTAAGGGCCATGATTTGTGGAAGGACTTGGAATTTGATTATCGTTCTCTATTTGGAGGACGCCAGTTTCTGGCTAATATAGAACTAGCTAGAAATGGAAATTATATCAAAACAAGTGCACATATCAATGGTGGAGCAAATATCTTTGGTGCTATTAGTACCTCTTTGGCCTCCCAACTTCTCTCATTGTTCCGAACCTCATTTCTCACCCTTCCTAAGCCAATCGTCCCCACTGGCTATGACGGCCATTCTGGGAAACCGATCACTTCGGCCGTCCTCCTCACACTTACCATAGATAAACGCCGTATCAACTTCCCTTTCCTGGTTACGGACCTAGGTGGTACCGACATTCTTATTGGTCGAAAGTTTTTAGAACACTACAATCTCAAGCTGGACTACGCTGGATCAAAGAATCGGATACACTGGCCAGATGACATGCCAGTTATTAATTACTATGATCGCCGATTGCTTCTCTGCATTGACAAGGCACCTCGCAAGACCAACGCCGAATATCAAGCAGACGTCGCCCGACGAGACAGCCAGATGGAAGCCGCCGAGGAAGCAGAACTCTCGGGGGTGCAGCTTACCAGTGACCCCAGATCACTAATCAGTTACGCCAATGGTAAGCCACCGAGAGCCAAAAAGTTTCGCATGCAACCCCAGCCTCGAAGACCATCATGCTTCTTGAGAGAAATGCGGAACCGTCTATCTAGGATGGAGGAGTCGCTCCAGAGATCAAGTCCCTACAGTCATTCCACGAGTGATCAGAGCCATGGGCCAGAACTACCAGCCGAATTGCCCACCCAGTCTCCAGGGTCGAAACTACACAGCAAGTACTCGACCAACATTTCCATGATCTCAGCGTCATCAATGCATCGGTTCCATCTAAGAAGCCCGGCCCAAAGTTCCCGGGACTCCCACAGAAAGGAAAATTATACCTTTGTTGCTTCGGTTAACGAAATTGACATAGAGATCAAGCAAAGACAGGATGAATTAAACTTCCAAAACGAAGTTGAGATCGCGGCCCTTGATAGTAAACTATCACCTAAGATGGCTTTGGAGGCCAAATACCAATCAGACGAGGATATGGTGAAAGACAAACTCATGTCTCAATACCAAGCTTTCCAACACCTCTTCTCTCGGAGAGCCTCAGATGAGCTCCCTTCCCATAGGCCCAATGTCGATCACAAAATCGACTTACAAGCTGGAAACAACTTGTCTATGGAGCCACTGCGCCGGATGACGGATGAACAACTCTCAGAAACCAAGCGGTATATCCTAGAGAACCTCTATAAAGGTTTCATTGCCCCTTCGAGCGCTCCGCGTGCTGCACTGATCCTCTTTGCGAAGAAAGCTGATGGTAGTCTACATCTGTATGTTGACTATTGAAAGCTCAACGAGCTAACCGCCAAGGATCCGTACCCGATTCCCTTGATCGACGAAATAATGGCACGTATTTCGAAGGCAAAGATCTTCACGAAGTTGGATATCCAACAAGCCTTCCACCGCATTAGAATGACTGAAGATTCTGAAGACTATACGACCTTCCGCACCCGATATGGCACTTACAAATATAAGGTGCTGCCCTTTGGTCTGACAAACCGACCAGCCACCTTCCAGCGCTTCATCAACAATATTCTCATGGAACATTTAGACAATTTCTACTCAGCATACATGGATGACATTTTAATATACTCTAGTAATCCCGAAGAGCATGAGACCCACGTCAAAAAGATAATGCAGATTCTCATGGATCACGGGCTCCAGGCTGACATTAAAAAATCCGAGTTTCATGTTACAAAGAAAAAGTTTTTGGGGTTTATTATCGGGGTTGAAGGTTTCAAAGTCGACCCTGACAAGATCTCGGTTATTCAAAACTGGGAGTACGCTGCTAACGTTAGGGGTGTGCAAAGCTACTTGGGATTTTGCAATTTCTACCGACGTTTTATCAAGGATTATAGTACCATCTGTCGTCCTCTCACACGCTTAACGGGCAAGGATGTTGTATTTAAATTTGACAAAAAATGCGAAGTAGCCTGGGAAACATTGAGATCAGCATTGAAGTCCGCCCCAATCCTCTGCCATTATGACCCAAATAAGCAAACGCGTCTAGAGACAGACTCCTCGGATAGAGTTGTCGCTGGCGTCCTCTCCCAACTGCAGGATGATGGTCTTTTTCACCCTGTGGGCTATTTCTCAAAAACAATGATTGACGCCGAGCTCAATTACCCAATCCATGATAAGGAACTTGGCAATTTTCCGATCCTTCAAGCAGTACAAGCCTGAGCTATTAGGTGCCCAGAAAAACGTCCATGTGTATACAGACCATAAGGCTTTGGAGTACTTCATGTCAACAAAGGAACTCACGGCCCGCCAAGCTCGCTGGGCAGAGTTCTTTGCCGAGTTCCATTTCACGATTATGTATTGGACAGGTATTACAAATACTCTTGCAGACACCCTCTCCCGTCGCGATCAGGAACTCACACCGATTGAGGCTAAGAAACGGGCATACCGGAACCAACAGATGATTCCGGACAACAAGATAGACCCTAAGATCTTGGAAGAAATGCGTATGGCAAAAATTGACTGCCTCAATGACGTCGACTCTTACATTCATAGAACCTCAGTGGATGCAGACAACGAGGTTGCGACTGATAATCCCGGATTAACAGTCAATGACGAAGCTACATCATCTTTGGACCACCTGATTGTTGATGGTGAGCCACCGGACCCGGCCTCTGTAGTGGCATACGACATCAATGGATACAACATTATTGATCAGGTTATTGAAGCCAATAAAACCTCCCCTGACTTGGAACCCCTTCGTGCAAAGGCTAAAGCGCACCACATGGATTATGAGCTTAACCAAGGGAAGCTCTACTTCCAAGGACGCCTGGAGATACCCATGGAATATCCAGAGCTGCGCACCGCCTTGATCCGCCACGTGCATGCCCAGCCATGTGTGGCACACGCCGGAGTCAACAAGTTCAAGTTACTGCTCGATCAGAAGTACCACTGGTCTAGATTAGGGAATGATGTTGCTTGTTGTATTGCCAACTGTAGCTGTGCCCGCCAGAAGGCCCGACGGGACAAGACACCTGGCCTATTACACCCTCTGCCAATCCCTGCTCGACCGTACCAACACCTGACATTGGACTTCACTGAGCTTCCTCTTGATGAAGTGGGTTACAACACTGCATTTGTCATCATGGACAGATTGACAAAAAAACCCCTTTCAATTCCGTGCCATAAAACAATCACAGCTAAGGAAATGGCCGGGCTATTCCTTGTGCATTGGGCACGTCACTTCGGAATGCCCGACTCTATAGTCTCCGATCGTGGACCACAGTTTGTCTCAACTTTCTGGAAAGAATACTGCCGGATCTTAGGCACTAAAGTCAAACTTACTACGGCCTATAACCCTAACATTGACAGACAAACCGAGGTCATGAATCAGTATGTTAAGCAGAGACTACGCCCTTTTTGCACGTACTATCAAGATAATTGGAGCTCCCTATTGCTACTTATGGATATAGCACAGCTGATCTTGCCCCATAAGCTGCTCGGAAATATCAGCCCCTTCCGGGTGCTGAATGGGTACGAACCAAGAACCTCGTTCGACCTTCACAACCCTGAACCTCCCAGATCAGCTACCGATTAGCTCAGTCGTTAGAACGCATTGGATGTCGCAAGCTGCCAGGAGAAAGCAATAGCCTTCGCTCAGTCATCCTTACAGTTGCAACAAGATAAGATGAAGAGACTGGCCGATCGTACCCGCCGCGAGGTAGATTGGGCAGTTGGGGACCTAATAGTCATTGTCACTAGGAACTGGAAGCTGGATCGTCCTTCAAGAAAACTCTCCGACAAGTGGTACGGCCCAGTTAAAGTTCTGGCGAAAGAGGGAGAGAGCTGGAGAGTCGATTTGCCAGTTCATTGGAAAATTCATCCCGTGTTTCATTCTCATTCCCTACGAAAATACATTAGTAACCCTCTACCTGGTCGATTGCGCCCTGCACAAGCGCCTATGCAAATAATAGCGAACCAGGACGAGTGGGAGATTACTAGCATTTTGGGGTCACGGGTGCAGAACAACAAACTGGAATACAGGATTCAGTGGCAAGGTGCGGACGAGGATCTGGAATGGTACCCCTGCTCGGATGCAATGACTGGCCTACATAAGATCAAAGAATTCCATACCAGTCACCCACAAGCTAAAGGACCTCCAAGGGCCCTGCCGAAATGGATAGAAGCTTACAATGCTGGAATTGACAACTACAGCAACCTTGAGGACAATAGACCAATGACCCGAACTGCGCAGACGCAGTTTTTCAAAGGGGGGGGCAATGTTACGGCTTGAGTTTACAGATGATAGGTTTATGGTATCACGTGATGTAGAGTCTGGTTGAGTAAGTGTTGGTCCCGGAAGCGAGCTGGTGGAGTTTTCAGCCCAGCAAGGCTGCAGACCTCTTTCTCTCCTTGTCTTTTCTTTTAGTTATCGCGCGTAGCTTTAGGTCCAAATACAAAGCAATTACTCTTTTATATTTCGAGGGAGTGTTCTAGTGTCAACCTGAGGTCGGTCGTAATAGATTAGACATTGATGAGAAGTCATCAGTTATAATGAATGAATTAATGTTTTATTTGTGACAGGTACAAGCCCTGCACTCAAAGAGCATGAAACGGAGAAGACTAGCTTCTCCGGCAACTTTATACAATGATAACTCAGTTTGGCATTTGGACTACTCATGTAGTGGGTGTATTTGCTGATACCTCTTGAGACCTTGGTACTAGGGACTTTCATCCTTCCCTCAACCGTTAATATCCACCAAAGGGAAAACAGGAAAAACCTTTGGCTACCCTAACATGCCTTTGCCATCTTGTATATAGCCGCTGCGCGAGATATGGCCTCACAGTCCTCACTTTATTGAGTGAAGTAGGTGTCGAGGCTACCCAGACTTTAATTCGGGGATGTGACAGAAACCGAGTTGGTAATGAATAAATCGATTTATTAAACTATATGAAGAGAAAAGAAATCTCTAGCTACTACTAATTGGTACTTATAACGTTTGGTCCGCTTCGTGAATCTGCTGACTGATAACTTCTCCCTAGGCCTAGTACTTGCTACCGAGCCAAGTATTATCAGGAGCCATTACGCTATGATGTTGCTTCGACCTCCTGGCTAGTAGTGCCATTTCATCTCTATTTGCCCATCTTTCCTCTTTCAGTCTTATTGTAATTATTCCTAATTAAACGCTTAGGTTTCCTCCTAAGCTAAAACAACGGTCAAACCGTAATAGGGGAGATGATGACCAGGGGGCGGACCAAAACACCTTCGATCATTACCTGTTTTTAGAGTGTCGGTTCTACTATCCGAAATCGTTGCCTCTGCGCCCACAGACACCCTTGAGTCGAAAAAACTCGATAGATGCGCGACCCTATATGCCCATTTGTGACCTCTTAACTCTTTTGTCCAACGTTCCAGTCGCCCGTTCCCCCTCAAGATATGAAGTCCCATGAGAGCAACGGTCCCTCATTGATCAAGACACGAGCTTTGTAGTTTATGACTTAATTTCATCCTCGCAGGTATATATAGCATCGTAATTTTGTAGTCGGAGATGGCCGGTTTTTGATGAGACAAATGCCCGATTGCAATTGGAGTAACGTCGTTATCGGTATTTGAGGCGTGGTGGTGTAGAAAGTATGAGGTGGAGGACTCGCGTGAGACTGATAGGTCCAACGTTGACGAGAAGTCGTCGATTTTAGATGTGCTTGTGATTGCTTTCGACTTCGATTTGGATGCGATTCTTCTTGGCTATCCTAGATATGCAGAGCATACTGAGCGATTACACCGGCACCACTGGAAGGTGAATGATTTGTCATTGCGGGCAAATAGAAGCCATAGATTGCAAGATATATCTAAAACTAGTGTAACCAGAACCTATAATTTTTGAGGCTTTATGTTGTGCCTTTAGCACGTTCACCATGCATAACACACCTAGCGCAAGGTGTGTTATGCTAGCAATACATTAGGAAGTGTTTGATGGGTTTGTTTCTGTAATCTAAGCGGGGCTGTAGTATAAATAGGGGTCGGAACTCCCCATATTGTAACAGAGATAAATCAACATCTTTTCACACTTTATTCCCAATAAAGCTATCCCAACAGTCAAAGGTCAGCATCATGGTGATACATCCTAACCCATATCTGTAACACTTTACTACAACCCTTGGTGGAAATAAAACATCAATCTACATATATAGGGCTTGTCCCTCACTGTCCATGAGAGAAAAATTCAAAGTTAAACAGTTGGAACTTATAAAATGTAGCTAATATCTTATTTATAGATTCTAGGAGTCCTCAATAGTCATTGACTCACTTAGGACTATAATTCATATCTGTTGGAATCACCAGGGTTCCAAATACACCACTGTTGATGACTGTATTGCAATTGGTTCTGTTCTTCTATCAAAGCTATGAAAGTAGTTATATTAAGTATTTCTAATTACGTAAACATTACATCATATGATTAAAGACTTCAAACTCCAACATGTACCAACATTGACAACTCTTCAAATTCTTATTAAAATTTAGCTTCATTTCCGGTCAACCCACTCCGTGACTCTTATATGTATTTTATTAGAGTAGATGAGATCTTTTAGTGCTGAACAAGCGTTCGATTTTGTCATTGCGTCAGCAGGGTTGGTGCTACCTTCAATCCATTTTATTTCTGCAATCTCGTGTTGTTTGTACAATTGCCTGAGACATAATGTCAATCATTAGTCTTTTTTCTCGGGTTGTGCCTAGTTGTCAGGCGCAGGTTCACTAGACGCAGGACTCGAGGCGTAGGAGAGGGCGTAGCGTAGGATGTACTGAGGAAGGACGCCTCGTGGTAACGCGGAGGGCTTTCTAGAGAGGTGGTAAAAGGGAAAGCGGGGAGTCGTTCTAGATAGAGGGGCTGGAGGTGACTGTAGGTCACTATGTTTGGCAGAGGACGAGAGTGAGATGTGATTAGAATAATGTAACTATTCCTAAAGACAGAAAACAAAGCGTGAAGATATCAGTCTCGGAAATGGAAACTACATAGGTGTCCTCGCTAAGCAATAAAGACTAGTGGGTTTAAATAAGGAACCCATAAATCCTGCCTGAGGGATTTCTCAAGAATCCTTACACTAGTCTTACTAGACAGTCGAAGAGGGATTTTGAGTCGGTGCAAATAATCAGAGGGATTGGGCTATTGAGGATTTTACTTAGAGTAACTTTGATAGCGGAGCTAGTATCAAATCCTAGTGCCATCCCGAAGAGTTCAGAGGCAATAACACTACGGGCTATACGTTTGCATTTGACCGAGGACCAGTGAATGATATTAGCATCATTATTGTCGTCTGCTAGTACTATCACGTAGCCAATTTGAGATGTCAGGTCTACGTTATTAGCAATAGACGTATTGGTGAAAACGATTATCTTCAAAGTATTTATATCAAGTTTGACAAATTTTATTCCTCGTTCAGAATTGTCAATTTGCCATTTTAATCTGTTTTTGAGAAGTTTTGCATCTTCTTCCTTTGTATTAACAACCTGGGCAGTAAAAGATAGATAGAAAGAGGCTTCTGGTTGACATATACTAGCGATGTATGCGCCGCGCGCATGTTGAGCAATATATTTATCTTTCGGAGTTGCACCTTTTTGTACTTTCCCCTTGGTACCTAACAGCTCAGCTTTGAAAGTTTCGACGAGGTTCAGGTTTGAAGTTTTCCGAGCTTGTTTTAGAATTATTGGGCCTTTGTCTAGTGTTACCATTCCCCCATTAAATTTAAGAGGCGATAATGGCGTGAGCTTTTCCCGATCCTTAGCTAAGAATTTGGCATTTTTGAGTGCTTGATATTCTTTGAATACAAAACTGTTACCAGCTACAAACATTGTATCATCTGTTTGCAGGCCCACTATTCCAAGACATGGTCCATTACTGTGGAGTAAGCAAGGATCATAGGTTGAAGGGGACATATTGAGTTTGTCCACATGATGCCAATGATATGTGTTAAACCAATGGTTACCAGCTTCTGGTATCCTATAGTGAGGCTTAAGCACTTACCATACAGTACCGGGAGGTAACTTGATTTCAGTGGGGGGACAAACGTAAAATCTGCAATTTAGATTGGTGGTTGACTAAACATATGCCTGGGAAATATCACGTAGATACAAACCGACGTCATTCCTTTGCATGATAGCAGCGAGAGCGAGGACGAGCCTCTGGCTGGAACTTTGGATTGTAGGTGACTGGGTCAGAATTGTATGTTTGCCATCATTGTTGTAGGCCTGAACAACTAATCGAGATTTTTCAAAGGCTTTTTCAGTTCCCAGATGTTTAATTTCATCCACAAATCTAGTGTTGAATATTCTGGTTTCAGGCGGGATATTATTGATATGAACGACTTTGAAAGTTCCTTTTTCTAATAGTCCGTTAATTTCTCTTCGCCTTGATTCTTCAAATGATGGTGTTGGGATTTCTGTAATATCTGGAGGAAGGGTTAGTGAATCCAGAACGTTGCTTTTGAATATAAGGTCCGGATAATTGGATGAGATGTTTTGATCTACTTCAGATAGCTTTGTTCTTATGCGAGATTTAGTGGAGGTTCGGATTTGTCTACGAGGTTTGATGGAGGGTGGAGGTGTTGCAGGACGTGGAAAAATTGGAGAGGGAGATGGAGGAGCTTCTGGATTTTGTAAGGTCGCATCAGGTAAGTTAGCTTCTTCTGGAGCGTTGTTAATTAGGAATGGTTTGACGACTGTACTGCGGAAATCAGTAGGACCACTGGGGAGATGTACGGAGCAAGTTTCGCTGTTGATGCTAAGAAGTGGAAAGGGGCCAGTCCACCTGCCGTTCTTGTTAACGTTGCCTTCTCGCCAGACAAGGACATCTGAGTTAAGTGGTAGGTCGTGAATTGCCACTGTTGATGGACCATTGCGAGAGCTTAGAGCTTCTTTTATTTGTCGGTTATTGCGAAGCTTGTCAATTTCTTCCGTGGCTTTACGTATAGCCGTTGCTCGCTGTGTTACGGAAGGGGCCGGGGGATCTAGCTCGGTCATTTTTGGAAAGGTCCCGTACACTAAAAGAGTAGGAACAAGACCATCCGGTCCTTGATATGTATTTATCCATGCGTAGCATAGCGTATCTCATATGTGCTCGGAGGTCATGTTACGAAGCCATTGAGCAGCTTGATACCTGGTGCTTTTGTCAACAATATGCAGGATTGGATTATTATTGATATACATGATATCAATAAGAATTGCATGGTTGAAGTTTATCTTGTCACAAAGTTTGAATTTAAATCAGCCAGGAGATTTTCCAAACTTTTGACACTGTTTGCAGAAGCGAGTTAATTTTCGGATTTCTTCATAGTTAACATCATCGTGACCAGATCGCTCTAGCAGTTGTTGGAGGCGATGGGCAGCTGGATGCCCAAAGCGGCGATGGAGTCGGCGGAGCTCAGTATATGTAAGGAAGCAATCTTGGCCGAGTTCGTAAGTTGTTGAAGGTAGGCGTGTTTTCCAGAGGAGAAACAGGTGTCCAAATCGACAAGTCACAGGGAATCTACGAGTTGAGGAGACGAGTACGTTGTCGATATTATCCAAATAGACGCCATGAAGGTCCATGCCAGCGATGCTGAGTAGAAAGGGTGTGTTAGCATTAAGAGCCTGGAATTCAACCGAGCCAAAGGGAGCGTCAATAACCACGGATCCAATTGAAGTTGTGTTCCCTATGCCAAATTGGATTTTCGCAGCTCCGGCAGTTGTAGTGTCGAGTTGAATGTTGGTGTTCTTCTGAAAGGCTAAGAATTGGCCGTGTCCGTGTTATACTTAGTTTATGAGTGGATATGGAATGATGAATAAGCTAGGGATAACAGAGAAGAGCAGAGGATGATAATCAGAGACTGAAGATATGAATAACTTAATTAATACAATTGATGGTGCTACTGAGGTAGACAGGACTGATGTATATACATGCTGTACACCCATGATACAGTCCATAATCATATAACCAGAATGTTCCATAGTCACATTTCATTCCATTCTCTAACATGTTGTACTAGTAACACAAAGCTCTTGGTGTTGATTGTAATAACAGTCGTGCAGGGACCACATGGACCCTGAATACTGCACTAGTACATGGATATGCTATATCCCTGTAGATAGACAGGGATGGCCCATAGCGGCTCTGACAGTCATACCACAACAGTCTGACAGTGGATTTCTTGGCAGCACCGGTATTGATCATGATGCCGAAAATTCTACTATCACTGTAGCGGATTATGGGATTTCTGGTTTTGAAGTTGCTAGTAGAACTAGTTAAGGCGTAGAGTGAGGCTTCATTGTTGAGTTCCGTGAGGTATTTCTTTCCTTTGATAGGCCCGAACCTGGTGAAATAAACTTCTTTGAATTCCTCGGAGTCAGGGGGGTCGAGGTCGGACATGAGTTGGCTTAAATGAATCGATTCGGGGATGGCTGATTCTGGCTGACCACATTTGGCAACAAATTGGGTGTATCTTTTGTTATACTTATTCTTTTGGTTTTGAAGGTGCTGAAAGGCTTCTTGACGCTCAGCTTTTAAGTGTTTGTTGGACCAACAGCCTTCTTAGTTGCAGACAATGCATGATTTGGAGGAGCTTGGTGATTGGTGTCTGGAGGGATATTTGGATTTATAAGGGTAGCAATTGTTGTTGTGGTATCTGGTGTTGCTGCGACCCCGTGAGTTTTCACGAGGCGTGATCCCTTGAGGATCATTCCTGTGGAATTGACGGTCTGTGTAGAAGACACCTGTTGAGGATCTAGGATGAATTTTGTCATACAATGTGATAGATGATTGTAGATAATTGAGAAATCCGGAAAAAATTGGGGGTGGGGTGGGGCATGCATGTTTGCAAGCAGATACATTTTTACATGCAGCAATCATTTTGAATCGTATAAATTTATCGGTTTGAAACTCGGGGTCTAGACTGTATTGTAGGGTTCGTAAAGATTGAGCCAACATTTCCATACAGGTGATGGTGTCATGCTGGGGATTTTGTTGAATTAAATTTCGTAGAGTGAGCGAGTTCCATTTGTTCAAGATGCGCTGATAGTACTTGTCACCTTCAAAGTTTGTTTTCATCATTTGATATAGGCCCTCAAAGGTAGGGGTAAACGCTAAGATTTAAATAGTAGAAGTCGGCTTCTATTCCTTTGAGCATTGTTGAGGACGCTTTAGTATAATACTCCTGCGTTATTCCATTTCGGCTACAGAGCTCATAGAAGATTGAAACTTTGTAATCTAGACTATCATCCATACCTAAGTACTTTATTTCGTTGGTGTAGGATCTTGACAGGTTTTGAAGTTGGCGGCTAATGTCATTGGTATCACTGTATTGATGAAAAGAAGTGGCTTTGTTTTTAGTGGGAATTGGGTCTGGTCTTGGAGATTGAGGCATGTTTGTGAATGAATTCTAGACAGGGCTTGGTTGAGGGTAGTTGCTATTAGGAGGAGCGAAAGCTGAAGTTGTCGTGTTTCTGATGCTGGTTGATGGCGGAGGTAGGATATTTGTGATCTTCTTTTGACGGTTATGGTATGCGATTTTGTAGAGATCAGGATTTGAATTAATTTTGCATGATATGTTTGGCGATGTGAATGAAATTGCTGAATCTTCTTGTGAGGTGTTCAGTATTTGCTCTTCTGTCCATTGTTCAAAATCAAACTTCAGGGCGTTTTCCAAGTTGTTAAACACTTCGTCCGATTTTGATTTCGACATGTAGATACCACCTTGACAAAGGAGCTTTCTTAACTTTTGGGCAAGACGGAGTCCGCAATGTTCGAAGTGAGAGGATTGCCAGCCGGCGAAGTCGTAATGGAATAGGCTGTAGAGATCGCCATCAAACGCGTCTTCGTTGGTGTAAAACTGAAATCTGGTACTGGCGTAGTGTCTAAGGTCTTCGGAGGAAGCCAGGCTCAAATTGATTTTCAGACATGATGGGTCTTCAGTGTTGATAAGGGCAGATCCAGTGGATTTGTTGTCAGACATTTTGAGTATTTTGGATGCTTAGAGCAGGTCGATGTCGCTTTGTGAACTTACGTAGATTGATTGATCATAGATGAAGTACAGAGTGCGATACCTTGAACTTTAACTCTTCGAATGTATACCAACTGAGGCAAGAATCTTTCTTCCTAATCCGTCACCATGAAAGAGGTGCGATACCTAGTTCACTATTGATTGGTCTGATTAGTTCCGGTCTCCTAATTTGTGATATCACTAATTAGTGTTGGAATCACCGGGGTTCCAAATACAGCACTGTCGATGACTGTACTGCAATTGGTTCTGTTCTTCTATCTTAGCTATGAAAGTATTTATATTAAGTATTTCTAATTACGTAAACATTACATCATATGATTAAAGACTTCAAACTCCAACATGTACCGACAATATCTAATCTAATCTAACACTCGATGAATAGAGAGAGAGAGCTGTGTTTATTGTACTATTTGAGTCATAGACTATCTAGCACATTGGGCTCCTCTCTGACCCAGGCCACACCTTGTACAGTGCTCCTATCCTCTTTTGTTACATGGAAGATCATTGATATATTCCCCTTGATGAATAGCCATTCAGCTCAGTATTTACCCGTGGAATTCGGCCACCTTTTCCGCCGAACCTTCTACCCAAAAAATTTAAAAATGGTAGCAATAGAAACTGCATGCGCCGGAAAAAGTCTCAAAAAACCTGCAAGCCCAGCCAGGCGAGGCCTAGACACCGGGACCACATGAGGTGCGCATATTCATTTATATCTCCCTTTTTTGTAACAGTTGAGGCCTACTTGATCCAATCCACTGTTGCGGTATCGGATGCTGGGTTCGCCCCGGGAACTCATCAGATGCCTTTTCCTTCATGATCAAGGGTTGGTGATGAGAAGGATTTCTACCCTGACATCTGATCTGGTCGTGGTTAGCTTCATGATACTGGTGATCAGGGGAAATGTTGGGAGATGAAGACAGTACAGACCGTGAAAGCGATTGGGAATCCCCATCGAAGTGAGGACGGGGTTACTTAATCTCAGCTCTACAAACTATACAGTGAGAGTTGGAGGTTCATAGGGGACATCACCCACAGGTGTTAAAAAAAGTCTCCCTCGATGGATAGATGGATAATCAGTTAATTACAGGCGAATGATTATCCACTGAGTCAGATCGTGTGTCGTTTGTGGCCGATTTGTTGTATGCAAGGTTTCATTAACGGTATGACTCGAATACTTAATCTTTTAATCGAACTTATTCAAAGTGATTACTTGGCGGTCTTAATATGATCAGCTACTAAGCCATGATCTAAGTGTTCTCAGAGTTGGACGGAATTCAAGAAAGGTGTCTCCAGTCGAGAAGTTTCTGCAATCAACCGCTCGTCGCCAAAACTTTTCATACGACTCATCCCACGATCCTAGTTTTAAATCTGGCTGTCTGGTGAAGATGTGGATTAATTTAGGAATCTTGCTTGCGATATCTGGGTTTATTCATCAAATCAAATGTACCAATGTCCCATACTCAGATATGTACCTTCCAGAGGGAACCAACGGCTTCGTATGTGGAATGGATCTTTTTACAATTGATCATCTACGCGAGGTTGTAAACAAAGTTATGGAATCAACTTTCTTTGAAGAATATTATCATAAATATCCAACGTTATTCGAGGATACACATCTGTTTAATGTGAAATCAGACATTCTTCTATCATGGCCTACAATGCTGAACGAAAAATTCTTTTACAGTAAAAAATCAAACCTTCACATTTCCTCTCCCGCATTCAAAGATATTCACTGAATCAAATACTAGGCCATGCGGGAAAAATCAGACTTATCATTAATACCAGGGGACAAATCATGGGTTTGTTAACTGTAGGCCCTAAGAATGATGCCCAGAAAATTAATTTTGAGAAATGCTACCCGGTATACAGATCTCTGAGGGGAAAAGATGATGAACGTGGAATTCCGTATGAGAGTACAACTAAACCCAGGCTCGGGTACAGTTGCGGTTTGAGAGTAATCCTAAGGTCTACAGTCGATAAAACAATGAAAATAGTCTCAAATGATTATTTACTAAGAGGGATGGTGAGAAAAGATAAGCCCGCTAACCTTGAAAAATATACGGGTGATGAATTTGTTGGTGTTGATCTTTATTCGTTCCCTATTCATAGGAAAACACACAGCAATACCCTTTTAGGTATTTCTGACATCTCTAAATATATTTATTCATCGCTCTAACGCTCCTTCGCTAGGTACGCCTGGTGTATTACGTATTGTTTTTGACATAAGAGACAGTAAAGTCAAGGGGATCATCAATATACAAGACAGGAAAAAGAAATGTGTACCTGTATGGGACTTATCATCGACCCCATCTACTAGCATTTATAGTCCGTCCTCTGTCTTAGACCTTGAGATAATTGAGGACAATTTTTGGCCCGAGACTTGTTTTGGACATAGGATCAAGGCGAAAACAATTTGGCTTTATTTAGAGTTCGCCGTCAGAAACTGGATGTCGAAGTTACCTGGTAGAAAACTGAATTTCCCTATTGTAAAACAGAATATCATTCAGCTTTGGCCCATGAGGATTCCAGAAACCCAAGATAACAGTAAATATGCGCGATATTATTTCAGAAATCTACTAATTTGACTAATCTAGAGTTCAATGACGTTTTCGCGATAGGCCACCACACTCGTCTTGGAACATATAGCTTATACTATGTTAATACACGGCATGGTACTTTAGTTAAACCTAGAGCTTGTCTGGACTTTTCTCACAGTATCATTCTTCATTTACAGAGAATTCACGGTCAAGTCACAGAATTCTAGAGAAGCCCCCTTTTTCGGCACGATTGCAATACTATTAATTCATGCTTGAAAAGTATGGCAAATCCTTCATCCACGGCTAACTTTTCTAGGATAATTTCTTAACCTTAATCTGAAATTCAGCAGCTACAGATCTGTATAGGCTAAATACTATCTTCGGATATGATGGTTTCAAGGACTTCGACAGGGATCTCAGAAACCCCAGTTATTCCGAAAGTCTCAGATCACTGAACGAGAGATAATGAGAATTCAATTATTTTTTGTTGACCAAAATTTCTTTTTATGGGCTTCATATTTGTGGATCTACGACTTTTAAATCTGGTGAATTTATTAAGGGGCTTTAACTTGAACTAGGTATCAGAGTCGCCAAACAGCCGGGAAGGAAACGGAATTAAATAAAGGCCGAGCCAGCTTCAGGAACACTGACGAAAGAAGGTTGATGTTATGGGCTCTTGGTATGGGGCCGGCATTGCGAAATTCATAACGAGTAATGTAATCTAGGCTGAGGACATGGGATGGAAAAGGTGCAAAGGGAATTTGGGATATCTACTTAAAGATAAAATAGAGACTCATGCCGTGACAAGCAATGTAACCTCCAAAAATTCTGACTGATTCTATTCCATTGACAAAACACGCGTCGAAAAGTTCCATCTATGCAGGGCCTCGGGACCACTTGACGTCTAGATTGAATATTTGTAGTTCAGCTTGTTAACTTATCGGCTTTGAGAAACGAGAATTACATGGCGAAATGGTAGTGAGAGACAGATATCGGAGAGAATCTCTTATACCTGACAAATATAGTAGGCAGTAGGTCATGTTCAACCTTGGTTTCATGGGTAATTTTTGTAGATTTATCGAGAAGTCTTCGAGTACACTGCTATGCTGGATTAAGGAGTTGTGTGAAGGATAACCTATGCATAAATCCATACATGACGTGTGGTATTGAGTAGATGTGCATATAGTCATCGCAGTCCTTCTCTACACTGAATTTAGTTCAATTTACGACACACTTTTGCGAATAGCTAATGTGATCAAACCCTTCTCACAATTTTATAGGAAACTCAATGACACTCGCCTGAAAACTATGTTTAAGTCGGGCTAGATCAAGAGTTTAGCTCCTCCTGATTATTAGACTTTCCAGTTCTATGACCACGTGTAACAATTAGGTTATCCACGCCTGTAGCATTGAATTTCTGCTCTCTTTTCCTCTGCTTTCCATTGCCAAGCTTATATTTCCAAATTATTTACCAAAATAAGCAATCTTTATTTTCTTGGAGCACGACACGCCAACTTTGGTGTCGAAAAACTCATAAAGGCGTCAAGAGAGCGGTATATCTTTTACAATATCACCAAGAGTATAATGTAGGCATGTTGCTTGCGTATCATGAAAAGGAAAACAATGGGTCCAACTAGGCTCCCCGACCAATTAGAGGTCCTAACCGGCAAAAGACGAATTCTCCACCTTCCAGTGCTGCCGGTGTAATCGCTCAATATGCTCTGCATATCTAGGATAGCCATGAAGATTCGCATCCGAATCGAAGTCAAAAGCAAACACATGCATATCTCCATTTGATAACTTCTCAATCACGCAGTACTTATTATTATCCTCTGAGTCCTCAACATCTTTCTGATCACACATCATCTCGCCTCAACGACCGATAAAGGCGTCACACCAATTGCAAACAGAAGCTTGCCTCATTAATTACCGGCCATCACCCACTACAAGTTTACGACGTTACGTATACCCGCAAGGAGGAAATTAAGTCGAAATATACAAATTTGGGGGCTTGGTTTATCGGGGACTGTCGCTCTAACGAGGCTATACATCTTGAGGAATGACAGGCAGCTGAGATGTGGAGCCAGAGGGAGATCAGGTCTCTGAAGACATTGCTGGGACTGGAACTTTTGAAGTATTTTTGAATCTGGAATTTGGAATTTTTCAGGACGCCAAGACTACCCTTTCGGTTAACTGGCCAGGCGGACCTGTATTGTCGATTATTACGGTTCGACCGTTGTTTGAGCTTGGGTGGATACCTAAGTATACTGTTGGGAAATCATGTTATAAGACTGTAAGGAAAGTAGCTTGGGCACCTACTCCACTTGAGAAAGAGACATCTTAGACCATATTTCGCGCGGAGAAAAGTTGAAAGATGATGTAGGCATGCCAGGATAACAGGGTTTTTGATACGTTCCCCTGGGTGGGTATTCACAGATGAGGGTTGAGTTGGGGTGAAGAAAAAGCCACCATAACTTTGCAGTGGTACCTGCAAATGAAATCCGAGGCATGAGTGCTCTTCTTGCAAATTGAGTCATCTATTATACACTTCTCTGATATTGTGTCATAGCTAGATAGCTGCATACGCAATTAAAATCTGATGCAAAAAAAAAAAAGGCTGTAAGGAAACGACAGAAAAAACAAGAAGATACAATACTACTTTCCAAGGGGCCGGAACAATGTCACAGCGTAGTGACACTTAACAATTTTAGGCAGTATGACAAGTATTCGGCCTAGGGTGAGGACATCAGTCTTTTATTTTCTTTTTTTATCATAGTGTATGCAGCTATCTCGCTATGACAAATTAATAACATATTTTAAATCCCCCAAATTCCTTCCCCACACCTAACTAACTCGATTCCTTGCTGATTTCCAATTGGCGCTTCCTAATTTAATATCCTTTGTGTGCTACCATGCACTCGGATGTGTCCAAATATTGAAGAAGAGCTTCCTTTCCTATCTTTAATCGAAATTATATTTGGATTTCTCTTCGCTCTATGTCATAAAAATATCAAGAGGTGTTGTGATTGATGACATAACCACCCCTGCATCTGGTTATTGTGGATCATAGAGATGTAGAATCTAATGGTTAAAACAGAACAGACCAGAGTCAGATAGAATAGAACAGGATGGAATAGAATGTGATGACTCAGAGCTGAATGGAACTGAGCGACTGGGGATATGGAAAGCCATAGAATGTGGTATATGTATATAAAAGTAGTGATTCTCTAAACTTGAATGAAAGCAAGCAAGTCTACTAATTCATTACAATCTACCTCTACCTTCAAGCCTCAGTGAACGTGCAGTTATTTACCGGTAACTACTCCACCTCCCATAACCTTGCAATCATAACAAGAGGACATCAGTCAAGACAATCTCCGAGAGGCTGAGTGTCATAAGTACCCGTTAGTTGCAGCTAGAATCCCTTGACTTCTTTTTACAGTATATTGAATCAACTAAATCATCACCAACTCGGGTTTTCCGTCACATCAATGAGCCCACGGCACCCTCCCGTACCCTGGACAACATAAGAGAAGTCCTGCTAAGTAGCTATACAGAGATCATACTCTATCCAGACTGTTTTGATATTCCAAGACGACCTTCGGGAAAGAGCTGAAAGGCAGAGTGTGAATTCATGTATTCACAAGTCTGCATCCTTCAGCTGGCCGGCCACTTCAAATGCTTGAGAACGGTCACGTTGTCTTCAGATTTATTCTTGATGTCTGTATAAGGAGAGCTCCGAAACCAATGGGTTTTGGATTTTTCCCGGCTGCCGAACATCCTCAAATGACCTTTTCTCCGTCTGTTGGAGGGGAGATGGTAAAGTGCAAAGGGCTCCTCTGAGTGTTTGATGGAATGAAGACTTGTGAAGGGTGGTACTGTTTGAGGGGAGCTGTATGGGAGGCATAGGAGGGGATATTGTAGTGAAAGAGCATGAAGATTTCATCGTGTGACGACTAGCTAATTATAGTGCTATTACAGTGAGAGAGGGAAGTGTGTTTACTGAACTACTTGAGTCATAGACTATTTAGCACATTGGGCTCCTCTCTGACCCAGGCCACACCTTGTACAGTGCTCCTTGCCTCTTATGTTATTTGAAAAATCATTGATATATTGACCGTGATGAATAGCCATTCATCTCAGTATTTACCCGTGGTATTCGGCCACCTTTTCCACGGAACCTTTTACCCAAAAAAGCCGGCAAAAACGAATTCTTCATCTTCCAGTGGTGCCGGTGTAATCGCTCAGTGTGCTCTGCATATCTGGGATAACCAAGAAGAATCGCATCCGAATCGAAGTCGAAAGCAACCTCAAGCACATCTCCATTTGACAACTTCTCGACAATGCCTCTCTCATCATTATCATCTGAGTCCTCAACCTATCTCTAACCACGCATCATCTCACCTCAACGACCAATAAAGAAGTTGCTCCAATTGCATACAAGAGCTTGCCCCATTAATCTCCTGCCATCACTCACTACATATTTACGACGCTATTTGTACCCGCAAGGAGGAAATCATGTCGAAAAATACAAAGCCTGGGTCTTGGCTGATGGGGGACTGTTGCTCTAATAGGACAAACAACTTGAGGAAGAACATGCAGCTGAGATGTGGAGCGAGAGGGGAAAGAAGTCTGTGAAGAGCATGCTGGGACCGATATTTTCGAGGAGCTTTCAACTTTGGATTTTTTGTGGACGCCAAGACCAAGATTTCGGCTAATTAGCCAGGAGGGCTTCTTTTGTCGATGAGTCAATGACACTCCCCAGCGCCCTGGACGGTACAAAAGAAGTTGGGCTGAACTGCCATACAGCAATCACGCTCTGTTAAGACTTTTCTGACATTTCAGCACGACCTTCAGGATGGAGTTGGAAGGAGGCTAAAAAGGCAGAGTGTGAATTCTCCGAGGTACCCACAAGTCTGCAGCGCCCAGCTGGCCGGCCTCTTCGAGCGCTTCGAAAGGGTCACTATGTCTTCGGATTTAGTCCTAATGTCGGTATTAGGAGAGCTCCGCACCCAGTGGCTTTTGCGATTTTTCCCGGCTGCCATACTCCCGCAAATGGCCATCGTTTCGTTGTCTGGAGAGGGGAGATAATGAAGGGAAAAGGGCTCCTCTAAGTGTATAATCGAATAAAGACTTGTGAGGGGTAGTACTGTTTTAGGGGAGCTGTATAAGAGGCATACGATGAGATATTCTACTGGTATAGGTATCCTTGGCCTGTAGGCAGAGA